TAAATATGTCACGGGAAATTTTTTTGGACATTTTTCATATTCGATTTTGTAATATGAAGATCCTCTACCCTTAAATTCTAATTCCATGATAAATACGGCGCAGATCATCTATCCCTTAAACTGTAACTTGGTGAAAATTTTGAATTTTTTTTCGAGAATTTCTTATAAAATTTTTCAAAAAACAAAATTTTATTGGGTTTTTATTATTTTTGTGTGTAAAAATTTTCTTATCATTTTCTTTTTAAATAAAAGAAATTAATTAAAACGAAACGAATTTATACTATTTAATTCCATCTAAATGAATATCTTCATTTTCATGATACTCTTTAAAACAATCTCTATTGGCATTACAACATAACGAAACATTACATAATTGTACACCAAAGGTTTGATTTTGGAGATTTTTGATCACTTTTCTCCCTATCGCTTCCACTGCTTCTAGAACGTTCCCTGTTATTTTCCTCTCTTATATTATCATCAATTCCATGACATCAGTTTGAATAAATGTGTTAGTATTTTCATCAGTGCTAAATCTTCACTTAAGTCAATTTCATCATGTTCATTACGCATAAAATAAACATTAAATTCATTCTCTTCACTAATTCAATAAACTCTTTCTCACATTCATAAGAATTGATGTTAAAAGTATTCATTTTTAAGGATATTAATATAAAAGATAAAAACTTTATTGTAATCAATATTAAAAAATTATTCCGTTAAATATAAAATGATCGGCCTAAAAAGGAAATTTTTGTTCCTTCACTTTGCATAATTATTTTCAAAAATTATCATTATGTAATTATTTGTTTTTTCTAATTAGTAAAAAGATACAGTCTCGAGAAGTAATATGCAAAAATTGATGTTACAATTTTTCTATTATTGATATAAGTCACGAATTTGTAATAATCAATTGGTCAACTTCAAAATATTAAAACGAAAAATTTTTTTATAATTTTAAAAAAGTTAACCGACAAGTTTTATTGTTCATGACTCAAGTTTCAAAACTTATCGACTAGTTTACAATAAAAAGTTAAAGATACTGTAACACGAAAATTATGGCATACAGTAACTAACTCTATTATTATCTGGTCATAATAGTAAAAATAATAAAGTATTCCTTGTGGTTCGCGCCAAACAACATTTTACTACATGCCTACCTTTCAAGAATTTGTCAATGCTAAAAAAGTTATTTGCAAATGTGGTCAAATTATTTCACTTGGAATCAATTATCAAGTTGCAAACTTTAAAAGACATTTTGAGAGTAATAATAGGGTTTATAATATCTTTCTATTAAGTTTTATCTTCAAGTATCACAATAGTATTTTCCGTGTGAAAACTTGGGAAGAAGAGGCATTACAATTCATATTATACCACGAGAAATAGTTTTTTTTTTTGGAATATGTTTTTACTCTTATATTAATCCTTGTTTTTATTATGAAAATTTTAATTTATAATCATTCTAGTATGTCAAGTTCACAAACTTCTTTTTAAATATTTTTAATATGTCCTCAACTATTTCGATTCGCATTAATAATAATAACCTTTTAAATGTGTGTTCGGAAAATCGTTTCTCAATTATAAAAATTAAGATTCGCATTAATATAATAATAATAATAGTAAATAGAGTTTCATTCAATAGAGTTTTCCCGTTCCTTGTGCAACACACGCACCCTCAAGAAGAATATATAAATGTTCAAATAATAAAGGTTCATTTTTTTTTGTATCTGGTGGAATTTAATCATGGATTTCTTGAAAAGTAAAGACAAGGTTTGCTGCAAAAAGACATTTTATTAACGAATTAATAAATATCATGATTAATTTAATTTATAATTTAGATTAGTAATGATGATTATTATATATTTGGTAAACCATGGCAAATAACAGACTTTATTGCTATTGATGATAGAGTAAGAGGTGGTAAATCTCAAAGTTTTGTTGAAGCAAACCAAGATAAATCTGAATTAAGGTTTTATGGTAATTTAGATATTGAAACTTTAGGCGGTGCAGGTAATAAAAAAGTGAAAAAAATTTTTTTCTCGTAAATTTTTGTCTACGAAAAAATTTATTTATAAAAAAATAAAACCGAAATTTAGGATTTGCTTCACAACGTACAAAATCAACAACCAAAACATATGATTTATCATCATATAAAGGTTTATCGATTACTACAAAATTAGGTGATTCCAAGATTTATCAAATAAATTTAAAAGATGTGCTTCCTCCTCCTCCTGATGATGATGGCAAAGTACAATCAACAATTGAATATAATTATTTATTTCGCGGGACTAAAGAACAAACAACAACGTTTGTAGATTTTAAAGATTTTAAACCTTATTATCGTGGTAGACCTTGCTCTGACGAGGATAGCAACAATAAATCTTTAGATATAACTAATATTAGAACAATAAGTTTTATGTGTGCTAGTTTATTTGGTAAACAATTCGGCGATTTTACTATTACTTTTGATAGTATTATTGCCACTAGAGACACCAATCAATAATAAATAATAAATGCTTTTTTTTTTTTTTGTAAAATTAAATACATATATACATAATAATGAATGACATCACTGATTTACCATAATATTACCATAATCAAATAAAATTTTTTTTTTTTTGAGGAGAAAAAAAAAGATTTTTGGCACAATACGTAATTTTATTTATTCTTTAAAGGGGTGAAATTAGAATAGAATAAATTGATGTTTATATATATACACACATACATATTTGTTAATTTATTAATTACTGTCAGAGAGAGAGAGACATATTGTTAATTTTAATAAAAAATCTCACAAACACGATCGTCCTTTCACATTATTCAAGAATTCCATTAATATTAAGATCTTTAACAAAAATCACTATAAATACGATCAACAACCATTTTTCTTTCACATTTTGCTTTTCAAAGCTTTTCATTACTACTACTAACTAAAAGTTAGTGTTAACGCGTAAACAAACAATACTTTTAAAGATGCGACGAGTTGTAAGAATTTTACTTGCTGGTGACGGTAAGATTGATTGCTTAATTGATTGATTGTTTGATTGATTGATCGATCGATTGATTGTTTAATTGATTGATTGTCGATTGATTGATTGATTGAATTATTAATTGAAAGGGACCATTAAAAAATTAATTGTTAATTTATTTTTTCTTTAAAAAAAACTTTTGATCAATGGATATTTTTGAATTTAATTGAATAATTGAATTAATATGAATTACAATATCGGCAACTTCATAATCATAATTATTACTATCGACACAATGAATATGATTTTCAACAATAATAACAAAAATGGAATGAAATGAAAAAAGATGGCGTTGGAAAAAGTACACTTATTACATCGCTTATTAGAGAAACTTTTGTTCCAAATGTAAATAATAAATAGATATTGATTAATTAATTAATTGACCGATTAATTTGATCAATATAATACAATAATATTACAATTGATCCAACTTTAATAATTTTTTATTTTTATTTTAAAAAAAGATTCAGCATGTTGTCCCAGAAGTAACAATCCCACCAGAAGTCACACCGGAAAAGGTTATAACACATATAGTAGATTCATCATGTAATAATCAATCATTAATTATTGTAAAATAATTTTGGAGAATTATTGTGTATTATGATTATGATTATTAATTCTTTTTTTATAACAATAAAAGCACGATCTGAAAATCGTGATCAGCTAGAGAATGAAATCAAGAAAGCTCATGTGATATGTATTGTGTATTCAATTGAAAATACACATACATTTAGTCGATTAGCTTCTTATTGGTTACCTTATATACGAAGTCTTGGTGTAAATGTTAGTTACCGGATATACACTTCTATACATTAACAGATGAATTAATGAAACGATACTAAAATTCATTTTATACCTAAATTCCATGAGAAATTAGGTTCCGGTGGTGCTGGTTGGTAATAAGATTGATCTTCGAGGTGACCAAGTAACAAATCAATCATTAGAAGAAGAAATAATACCGATAATGAATGAATTCAAGGTATATGAGCGTGTGTATATTATATTTTAGTAATTAATAAATAAATAAATAATTTTAATTTTATTATTACTTAGGAAGTAGAAACTTGTGTAGAATGTTCTGCAAAACAGCCATTAAATGTATCAGAAGTTTTTTATTTTGCACAAAAAGCAGTTCTTCATCCAACGGCGCCTTTATATGATTCAAGAGAACATGTGTTAAGACCAGCATGTATAGATGCTCTCAAAAGAATTTTTTCTTTATGCGATACTGATAAAGACGGTACACTTAATGATAACGAATTAAATGAATTTCAGGTATGCTTGGCTTTTTTTCCTTTCCCCCCTATAAAAAAGCTCTTTTATTCAATTCGCCATCGTCATAACTCATCATAATGATTATTTAGAGGAAATGTTTCAATGCACCATTAAAACAACAAGAACTTGCGGGTGTGAAAGAAGTAGTTAGAGAACATGAACCAGCGGGTGTTAACGATATAGGATTAACGGAACTTGGATTTTTATTTTTACATACACTGTTTATCCAACGTGGTCGATTGGAAACAACTTGGGCTGTGCTAAGAAAATTTGGATATGGTGATGATTTGATGTTAAGAGAAGATTTTCTGTTTCCACAGTAAGTAGTCATCATTTTTATTTATTAAAAATAACATTAATAATATAATATACTTATGCCCTTATTTATATAATTATGAATTAATAATTCAGCATCGATGTTCCTTGTGATTGTTCAGCAGAATTAAGTCCTAAAGGTTATCAATTTTTCGCCGATATATTTCAACTTTTTGACAAAGTAAGCGTTATTTATTTATAAACGAACAAACAAATGAACATATTGCTAAATAAATTTTTTATTTGATATTTGTTTTTTAGGATAATGATGGAGCTTTGAAAAATGATGAATTATTTGAATTGTTTAGTACTTCACCTGCAAACCCTTGGACATACACCGGTTTTCCAAATACTACAATAACAAATGAAGCAGGTGCTGTCACATTACAAGGGTGGTTGGCACAATGGAGGTAGGAGTAAGTTGGTTTTGGTTGTTTTGGTTGGTTAGTAGTAATAATAATAATAAAAAAATTAGTTGGTTTAAATTTATATAAAAGACAAATAGCAATAATAATAATAACAACAATTAAATCAAAATAAATTTTCTTTTTCATTATGTATGTTATGTTGTTAGCATGACAACATTACTAGATCATACAACCACGTTATCGTATTTAGCTTATTTGGGATTTGAAGGTGATACTAGGAAGGCGTTGAAAGTTACGAGACCAAGGAAGTTGGATAGGAAAGCGAATAAGGTTCAAAGAAATGTTTTTTTAGTGTATGTTCTTGGTGCAGCAGGTTCTGGTAAGGTAAAGAAATATTTTAATTTTTGACAATGGCTATTATTTTGTGTTCTTTATCCACTATTATTTACCTATATTTACCTATATATATGTACATCTATATATTTATTTATCTATTTCAATATTCTTTCTTGATAGACATCACTGTTGAGAGCTTTTGTAAATAAAGAATTCGTGCAAGAACATTCATCTACCACAAGAACTTTCAATGTTGTAAATTCAGTTGAAATCAAAGGGTCAGAAAAATATTTAGTGGTAATATATAAATATATTTAGCAAGCGTGTTGATATTGAAAATAAAATGTTTGATAATATTATATATATTTACACAAGGTTAAAAATTTTTTTTTTTTAATAGCTGCAAGAATTTGGATCAAGATATGAAGCAGAAATACTACAAAATAAACGTAAATTAGATAATTGTGATTTACTATGTTTTGTTTATGATTCAAATAACGCTGATTCATTTTCATATATTGTTGAATTGAGAGTAAGTGGCGGATTCACATTAATTATAATCGGCAAATAGTAATTATAATATATATTAATATTTACATATATCTATATTATATATAGAAAAGATTGGATTTAGATCATTTTCCTACAGTATTTGTTGCAACAAAAAGTGACGCTGAATTAGTTCAACAGGTAATAAATATAACATACATAACTTAAATATACACACATATATGTATATATTATTTATATCATAAAAATTCTCTTATAAATAACAAACAACAAACAACAAAAAAGCGAAACGAGATTCAACCAGACGTTTATTGTCGTAGTCTTGGACTGGCGCCACCAATCAATGTTTCAGTAAAGAAACATTATCAAGTAGCAGATTTATGGAATTTATTAGCAGGAGTGGCAATAAATCCAACAATTGCTACACCAGGATTAGCAGATTCGGCACATGCCTCATCTCGTATTATCAAGAAATATTTAACATTCACAGCTTTAATGGGTGCTATAATGGGTGCCGCATTTTTAGGTTATCGATTGTATCATCAACAACAAAGAGGATTTAAAACGTAAATCAATTTATCAATTCATTTAACTAATTAATCAACTAGATGTTGGTTAAAAGGGGGAGGTAAAATAAATTGATTGATTGATTGATTGGTTGGTTGGTTGATTAATTTATTATTTGCAAATAGAAACTATTATAATATTTAATAATAATTAAATCAATGATAATTGGAGCAGTGTAGTAATACTAATGGTTGGTCGTTGTTGTAAAGAGTTTTGGAATTTTTTTAAAACTTTAATGATGATAATAATAATAATTGTTGTCGTCGTCGTATATATTATATATTATTATTATTATTGCTATGCATTTTTTTCTGCGTGTAAAAAATGTTTGTTTCATATATACTTCTTCCTTTCTCTTTCTCTCTGTATTTTTCATCAATTGAAATAAATTTTGTAAATTTTATAATATAATTTTATTATTATTCATTTTCTAAATCGCTATAAATATAATTATTGAACAATATGTATGATGAAAAGATAAAAACTAAAAAATTAAGAGTAAATGAATATTTTATTATTTGATTGGTTTTATCGAAGACGTCTTGCTTCACGTTCAGATTCCAAAAGACATAAAACATCATTTTCACGAACAGGTCCCTTAACATTACGAATGATAGAACGATTTGTATCGTCCATAAATTCTACGCGCACTTGAGTTACACCACCTCTTGAACCGGTACGACCAAGTACTTTAACAACTTTGGCAAGCTTGACTTGTTGTTTAGCATCCTTTTTAGTATTTTAGTATCGAAAAAATAGTAAAAATGAAAATTTTTTAATTGAATAAATAAATTCAACAGTAAATAATAATAACAATAATAACAATAGTAGTAGTAGTAGTAAATAATAATTATAAACAATTTACCATATTGATATTTGATTGATTGATTGGTTTGATTGAATTTTTTTAATTTCGTTCTTTTTTTTTCAAAATTAAAAAGATGTAAAAAATTTTTTTTTTTCGAGGTCATGTATAATATACATATAGTAAATGAATTGATGATCCACAGGGAAAAAAATTTTTTTGAACGCAGCGTACCTTTTTTGGTACACTGCGTACTTTATTTTTTTGGTACGTTGTGTACTTTTTTTTTTTCACGCGTCTTAAAAAAACATTCTTTTCTATCTTAAAAAAAAAATAGAAATCATGTTTATAGCTATTGATCAACTTATATATTTATTTGATACGATAAAAAGATTCAATATTAATGATGATAGTGACAAAGTCTTATTTGAAGACGTTATAAAAATATATGTTAAAATGGATATTGACGCAATGTGCGCTGCACAAATATTTCAGGTAGAAAGTAGTTTTATTTATTATTATTTTATTTAGAAAAAGAAAAAGAAATTTTAAAATTAATTGGGGGTTTTTATGATGGGTGGGGACAATGAATTCAAATTTTCAATTTATATAGAATTTATGTATACGACAAAACATAATGTTTATTGATATTAAACCTGTTAGAACATTAGATGATCTTGACGAATCAGATAGAAGACCATCATATGAATTAAAATCAGTAAATATTTACATGTATATTTTTAATTATATATAATCTTTTAATAATTATATTCATTTATATATTTGTTTATAGTTACAAGCAATTATATTATTTGGATTTGGATCAGATATAGATCTTGCTAGTTTTTTTGATTTATCTGAAAACTTAAATGTTAATATTTATGTACTTGACAGTCAAAGTACGCTTGATTTAAGTAATTGTAGTGGATCCGAGAATGTAATTAATTATTGATATCATTCGTTCATTCCTTTCTTTATTGTTATTGTAATAAGAGTGATTTTTGAAATTAATAGTATTGATTTTTTATAGATATATATTGTATTAGATCTCGAGTCATCAGAAATTAAAGCAGCAATGGACATGGTAAAATAAACTAATTCTATATTCATGTTGAGAAAGGAGAGTGAGAAAGCAGAGGAATGAGAATCATATAGATAATATGTAATTTAATTTATATACATGTGTGTGTGTGTGTGTGTATGTGTTTATATATATATATAGGCTAACCAGTTCAAAAAAGGAAAATTTAGAAGAAAAGAAATTGTCTCAACCTCATTACAAGCCTATTTCCTAGCAGTTCAATCTGGAATGAAAGATAGTGATTTATTATGGTAACCATCGTTGCTATTATTTCTTTTCTTGTAAAGAGAAAAAAAATCAAATTAATTTTTTTATCATAATAATATCAGGCTTGCAATTATAGGCCACACAAGCTTATTAATAGCAAAAAGAATTTCAATGGATCAATATAGTAAATATATTACAATTATAGATGCAGAAGTTCGAGAATTCAATCAAACAACATCCAAGAAACGATGGGCAAGACATAGAGCAAAAGCACGATATCCTGATCAAAAAAATATTGAAACCGTTTGGGAATATCCTTTATTATTATCATTATCATTATTAATTGCTATTGTTATTCCAGTTTTTCTTCTTCTTCTTCTTTGACTCTAGCTCACATATAATTGTGTATTAGTTGGACATTGGAATTTATATGATAGCATTATGAATTCAGAAAATACATTTTTTCGTATGAAACTTAAAAATAGACAAGGCGAAAATCTAGATAACCTTTTGAGAAATCTCGGGTAAGTAATCTTTTTTTTTGCAATACACACATACACACACATACACGTACATATATATATACACACTTAGATGCACCTTCTCATATATACATACACACACGACCTTTCATACAAACAACAAGAATATCGCAAATAAAATCAAAAGAATTTTTTTTAGAGATGGATTTCGAGACAGCAGATAATTTATCAAAGAACATATCAGAAGAAGGACCCAAGTTAGGATTCAATGAACCAATATACGCACAATATGTAAAATATTATGGATATAAAGAACCATCATTTAGTGCCAGCGATATGGTTTATGCTTTACAAACACTCTTATGGATAAAAAGATCAAAAATCAACGAATTTAATATTGGAGAAATTGATTTTTTTGATGTTTTTAAAGATACGAATAATCCATGGTGGGATAACTTTCATACTGTGCTTGATACGATTGAATGGTTGGTAGAGATATATGTTGTTTATAGGAAAATGAATGAATAAAAGGATTCGTTAAATAATCATAAATTTGTTTTTTTTTTAAAAAAAAAGTCTAGACGAAGAAAAAGGGCTGAAAAGAATAAAAGGAGGAATTGAACTAAGAAAAAATTTACAACCTCATATTATATCATCAGAAATAAAAGAATTTATTATTGTGACATAATAAAAAACAATATAGATAGCAGCAATAATAATAATAATAAATAAAATAATAAATATATTTATATTTATTTATTTGTAAAGAATGTTTGAAAAAGCTTTTAGTAGTTAAAATTATAAAACACAAAGCATACATGTATTTAATCACATTCCCCATTATTAAGACAATAATTTTTATTATTATCGCCCCTGCTACTAATTCAATTAACATTATTGTTTTTTGGTTGATTGAACTATTTCAAAGGCTTGTTATAAAAAAAAAAAAAAAAAAGATCTATTTGATTTTTAATATGTTACACTAATCAGACAAAATCGTGAGAACAATTAATACAGTTTCTCTTTAATATTAATATTAATAACAGATTTTTACGACAATGCTAATTATAATGCTAAGCCAAATGTTTCGTTATAGAGTGTGTGAAACTGTACACATCTCATGCTCATTAATCTTTAGACCATATTAGCAAAGTCTTGCTCAGTTAATTCACGTGAAAGGGCTTGAGTTTCCGCAGTATCCGCCCTGTTACTATTATTTATTCTCATACACAAGATAATTTCTCGCAAGTTCTTTTACCACCCCATTAACGTTATTTTGAAATTGGAATGTGTAACGTGGAGTAATTTGAGCTTATTTCTTTGATAATTAATATTAATTAATTAATTTATTAATAATTAAAAAAGTTTCGAATATCCCAATTTTGCATTATATATATATATAAAAGTCGCAATTTTATGAGATGCTGATTGGAGGGAAAAACAGGACACGAGAATGCACGAGAATGGTGAAATTAGTCAATCAATTGTAATTATATCTGCCATTACACGTTAAACAGCCATCCTTTAGAGATAGAGATAATCAGTAAATAAAGTAAACTCTTGTTTTGTAAATATAAATTCTATAAGAACATATTAATATGCACAAAACAATAAATAAATAATAAATATTTATTGAACGAGTGGAAAAAAAAGATTAATGATAATAGTTTTTTAAGTAATAATTATTCAAGTGGCAAAAGTCAAAAGTTGGATTGAAATCCTTCTCGATTCCGTTTAGGATAAATTAATTATTTAATTATATTAAATCACATCATTATAATCATTTCTTAATCATTCACAATAAACACTAATTAATTATTAAATTTTTAATTATTTTCTTTTTTGGCTTTCTTTCTTCCTTCCTGCCTTTTAATTTTCTTCGATTTTGCATGTGTGAAGCCCAAATAGAGTGTAGTTTCTTTTGAAAAGAACAAATCGTCCATTTTTTATTCCTTTAAAGATGAGAATAGCCGTAGCTGAAACGATAATTAAAAATTTAAATCCAAAAAAAAATAAAAAAAATCTATTTTTTATAATTTTTCTATAAACGCCAATAATTTTTTCAATAATATTTTATATGGGAATTTTGAATTTTTAATTTTTATGCAGAGCATTTGTTTATTAAATATTATTATTGTACTTCTATTTGATATTTGGTCGAGTGGGAGGGATATGACACCACACGACTTCCAAATATGGAAATTGGCGTATTTCATTATTCCGTTTTTTCATCTTCCTACCTAGTTTTTTTGTATGAGAATTTGAAATTCTTTTTTTTTTACATTCATTCGATTTTGAAAAACCAATCCACGACCGACTTCCTTATTTGTTTACAATGCTTTTTATTGTAATATACTCGCATATAATCTAATCTAACTCTCTAGAATGGTAATGCATTAGTTATTATTTCATACTGAAATATAAACATAAATTAAGAATAATTTAAGAGTATAAACATAAAATATAAATAAAATAATAATACGTAAATAAAAATCAACAAAATAGATACACCTAAATAACAATAAATAAAGAATTTCCAATATAAAAAGAATGTGTTTTTCTTTCGACAAAAAAAAAAATATAATTTTTCAAAAAATTATTTATATTTTTATCTCCCCAAAAAATATTAATATTAATATTAATATAATAATATAATAATATAATAAATATTAACAATATAAAATAATAATAATTAATATTAAATAATAATAAATTATAATATGGGACAAGTGACCTCAATTCCACTTTTCCTCGAAAATAATTTTGATATCAAATCTTCTAAAAATGGTCTTTCAGAAATAACCACTTGCCTGGTGCCGAACTTGCAAAAAAATGATCAAATTGATATCACAGCAATATCGATGTTGGACCACCCCATTATTAGCGATGATGAAAATCAATTTGTTAAAATAGTGATAAAGCTACTAAAGGATTCGGACGAAAATTTAAAATTAAGTAAACTCGATAAGTCAATCGAACTTTTACAATTAGCAACAAAATTTGGTTCTGTAAATGCCGCAGCGAGATTAGGTTTGATGTATTCGTTAGGGTTAGGAAATAACAACAACAATAATCTTGACAATATTGATAACAATAGTAGTAGTAATAATAATAATAATAAATCATCTTCAATCATTCCTGATTATAAATCGGCCACAGCTTATTATTTTCTTGCCTTGAAATTCATTAACAATATACCCTCATCTTCTTGGGACTTGCAAACGTTGTTGGAATTGATGGTAGGGATAACATTTTTATATGAAAATTATTTGTCGTATCAAAAGGACCGAGGACTTTGGAATTATGGCATCAAAGCAATCACCCAAATAGATCTTACTCTGAACGATGCCAAATTTTCCAAGTTTTTATTTCACCAAGACAACGAAATACGAAAGGCCATACGTATCAATATACTGTTTTGTATAGCATTATCACACGAACTGGACGAAAATTATCGTTCGGCATTGAAAACTTATAAAGAAATCGAAATAATAGGTAAATGCGGCGACAACTTGACCGGGAAATTGATCAAAAGAGCTCGTACAAATTATCGTTTGTTGGAGAAAAAGGTTCCTATCATAGATCCGGTTTGTTGCGAATGTGATTATAGTGCTAATGATTTCAAAGAAATATGGAAGTTATTAGTGTGCCCAAAATGTGTAAAAGTGGCATGTTGCTCTAGAAAATGTTTAAACAATCATATCGAAAAAATTCATAAATCATAAAAATTAAAAAAATTTTTTTTTTATTTAATTAATTAATTTTCAAAAATAAAATTTTCATTTTTTTATGTACATAGTTAAAAATAAAATTTCGTATTTACAAAGTTTTTTATAACGTACAAGTTAGTTGTTTATCGCACAGTTGGTCTTGTAGCATATACATATCTTTTATGTATTATTTTTGTTCGCAGCTTAACAAGACAAATAATTTTTATTATGAATAAAGAATCGAGCGATTCTGCTTCTTTGGAAGCCAATAGTAGCTACACGATTTATAGGTATATCGAGACTATCTATTTAATGTAAAGACACATATGTATTAAAAATGGTCATTAAAAAAGTGCAATAAATGCAATAAAATAGATTGTTCTACATATCATTCGTATTTTCATTAAGTTTCAATATAAAAACAGATATTGCGAATCTTTGGGGTATTATTGCATTTTTACTTCATAAATAAATTTAAATTATTGTAAAAATTTACAGTATTTTACAGATATATAACTACAGTATTTACAGTTATTAGGTTTCAATATAAAAACAGATATTGCGAATCTTTGGGGTATTATTGCATTTTACTTCATAAATAAATTTAAATTATTCTTTTATTTATTATCAAACATTCACCAATGTAAAGATTTACGGTATTTACAGATATAACTACAATATTTACAGGATAATTTGCATATTATGGAGGTTTACACTCGGTTGCTAGACGAAACTTCTAAAATTCGATTCACACACGGTACGTTAGTTGTTGATAACGATGATAGGTTTTGATGGCAAAGCCGGGTTATTGTATAAAGTTGTTGATGGAGATATTAATATTGTTGTTTTGTTGATAACGATGATTCGTTGACCATATACTCATTATATTATTCTTAACAACCTGAAACAACCTGCTAATAAAGATTCAACTCTTGAATGAATGTGTAGTAGATCATTACTATAATGGCTTAGTTTTTTTAAAAATTAATCCAAATAGTATAGCAAACAACATCTTAAACATGAATTGGTTTTATATTATTACCAAAAAAGGTATATATTAAATCGAATGGGAAAAGAAGGCGGGAAGGGATCAATTAAATCGTTAAAAGGAAGACCAAAGAGCAATTTCGAAGAAAAGATGGAGATCAGTTGTGAGAAATTTATTATTATCTTTGATTGTTTTGTTCGTGAAACCTCATTTCTTAATATTGTTCACTTTAAATTCAAAGGTAAAGATGAAAAAATTGCTTGGTTGTTATAAAAAAAAAAAAACCACTTGACCTATATAAAGAATAGCTCGGGGCCCTGATTTAATCAAATCGAGTGATCGTTTAACCCATTTCCATTTATCACATGCCAGGGGCAAAGATTTTTCGAAGCTTTTTGTCTAATTAAATTTTTTTTGTACAACTAAATCGGGAACACGGCATTATCATTTGTAGTGATTATACCATATATGTACAGATAAGTATATTAATATCGAATCCGAGTATATTATTGTGAACCATGTGTTGTCCAATGTAATAATGATCATGTAGTAATTTGAAATTTGTTTAAACTTTATTTTCGTGTTTAATTACCTGACAAGTTTTTGTTCCCACCTAACACGTTCGGACCGGTGACCGTGGTCATTAAGAAACATGCTGTTATCTTTGGGCGCAGCGATCCTATTCCATATTTGTATTACGTTTAATGGTTATTATTATTATTATTAGCAGTGCTAGTGCTAATCACGGAACTCGTACATTTCATGATAAATGGGGCAAGTTCAAAAAAAAAATTCTTATCTACCTGATAGCTAAGCATCTTTGGAAAAGTCCATTTATTTATTTTAATGATTATTATTATAGAAAAATAATTGTTCGAAATAATAATTGACCACTTTGACGATGTTTCGTGATTTGATTGATTCAAATATCTTTAAATAAATGCCGCCACCAGCTCGGATCATCCTTACCGTATAATCCTTATTATCATGTTTATTTACTATGCATGATGGCTCAGCAACCTGATTCTGTTATCAGTTTAACTGTTTTTTTATAATTTAAAAAAAAAATCCTGAGAATTGAGATTTGTGGTTAACTAAGGGTGCAAACATATGAACACTTGAGGGTTACGACATTAGCGTCACTTTCCATATGCCGTATCATGTGCCGAATGCCGTAACCCTAGCTTATGTCACGTCAAAAAAATTTATCAACCGGTTTTTTTTAAGAATAAAATATCCCAAGTCTATATGACTCAGATAATAAAAAACATTGTTTTTGATGATTAATCATTCAATGTTTTTTTCATTATATATACAGTATACTTCTCCAATAATAAAAGAATCATCATCATCATCTATTAATATTGATAATTAATTTGAACATTATTTTATCAATGAATGAACAAGTACAAAATTTGACCACCATTATCAATGTAACTTCTGATGC